TGACCTTGATCTTAACAAATGTTAAGGTGCAATTTTATGCAGCGAAGGAAAACTGATTTTTCACCCCCACTTCGATTACAATCAAAGCAGCGTTCAGAAGCTATTTGCTCTTCTTCTGTTTCCTTTTTATGTAGCATATTTTTGCTAGCTTTAAGCTAATGAAGACACTCATTTATTTTTGCTGGCTTTTGATTCATTTTATAATAATAAAAATGGATTACGAAAATAAATCGAGTAGTATAAATCGATGTAAAAGAATACATCCGTACAGTAAGAGCTACAGCTGCAGCAGTGATTCAAAGGTGACGCATAGCCGTTGTAATTGCTAGTATAATATTATTAAAAAAGAAAAAAATGTACAAAAAGAAAAAATACTGGGTAGCTAGCATTCATTTTCAAAAATCACAACAAACAAGGTTTTTTTTTGCATCGCTCTTAAAATTAATTTTGGAAGACATACGATTCCACAATTATTTTCGAATGAGTGCAACTCAGATGGAAGAATTATTGAGCATTATCGAACCAAAAAAACAGGACGTAGTTCGACAATCCATTACTTCACCTGAACGATTGGCACTAACATTGAGATTTATTTTTTTTTTTTATTATAATTATGATCATTTTCCAATAATAATTTTACGCGCCCAAATAATGAGGCTTGCGCGGATGCAGTACGCATCACGTAATGCTATAGAATGTGTTATTTGAACATGCAATTTAAATTATAATTTAAATTTGAACGTTCCTCGTATATTATATACAATATAAAATATATATAATATATTTGTTGGGAGAAAATCGGTCGCCTTTTGGTTAGGAGGGGGGGGAGGAGGAGGTGGAGTGGACCTCGTTTCGTGTGGAAAATCATCCCCTAAATAGAGAGAAATTGGATGGACTTCTCTTCGCATGGAAAGTCGAACGCCTCTAGATAGGAAGGATAATTTTTAATATTGTAGAAATAAAACGTTATTTTTTATTTTTCAATAACTTCTGAACAAACAGTAAATGCCACCAAAAACCTTTTAAAGGTCACTCAGTATAAAATATATATAAATATTTTGCTTCCGGGGATTTCATAACATCAATATCATATCAATATCTCGTGGAAGTGACGACAGTGATTAACATTATTCGTGAAATGTGTGAAGCAATTTCGGATAGTTGGTACCCTAAGTTCTTCCAAGTTAACTCGAAGGAAGAGACTGGCTAAATATTGTCAAAGAGAATGAAGAAAAATATACTATAAAAAATTACAAAAAATACATACAACACACGCACACACACACACGCGCGCGCGCGCGCGCAATAAATATATAATTTTTATTTTTTTTTATATCATTTTTATTATATTTAAGAACACTTAAGACTATGACACTTAATAACATTAATAACACAGCATTTAACATTAATGCCACTTAATAACACTCAAAACATTAAGACACTCATAGTAATAAAACACTCTTAATAACTCTATAACACTCATTAAACATTAAACACTAAACATCTTATTTTTAAGTCTTGATCATTCTCTTTTTATGTCTAACACACATTCTACGGGTGTATGTATAGGGTATTTTTCGAATATCTCGAACATATCTTATAAATTCAAAATCCGATAATTAATTAGATTAATGGACACCGCGTCTATGATCTTGACCTTAATGTATGTTATCAAGGTCATGATCCTGAGTGACCTTTAAAGGGTTTTTGGTGGCAGTCACTGTTCGTTCAGAAGTTATTGAAAATAATAAAAAATAACGTCTTATTTCTACAATATTAAAAATTACCCTTCCTATCTAAAGGCGTTCGACTTTCCATGCGAAGAGAAGCCCATCCAATTTCTCTCTATTTAGGGGATGATTTTCCACACGAAACGAGGTCCACTCCACCTCCTCCTCCCCCTCCCCCTCAACCAAAAGGCGACCAATTTTCTCCTAACAAAGGAGGAGATAGAGTGACCATCACTTCACACAGAAAGTCGTACGCTCCATGGCAGGTGGAATCGAAGTCATTTTGCTTGAAAAGTCATATGCCTGTCAATATATAGCAAAAATAAGACATTTTTTAAACTTTATTTATTAATAACTTTTGAATAAAGTGATCACCACCTAAAACTTTTTGAAGATCACTCAGGGTCATGGCTTTGATAACATGTCAAAGTCAAGATGTCCATTAATTTGAATTACCCCCAAAAAATTAAGTAAAATTAAGCTTTTTATGCAATTCACAAGTCTTCTAATTTTTAATCACCAGATAGAGCAATAAGTTCTTTTTAAAGATATTTTTCCGGCTACAATCGCGCTAGAAAATTAATCGCATACAATCTATGAATATGTCTTTCAGCGCTCTCTGAAGAGAGAAATTTTTGAGGCGAACATACACACACGCATATGTGTCGTATCTGTGTGTACGAGCACTAGTCCGCACTGAAGACAGTTGAAATAGTAGAATGTATTGTAATAGTATATCCTTGTCTCGCCGCTCGGTGTACGAGAAGGAGAATTTTATTAAATTACAAATTTAAACTACTCTAATTCAGAAACGGCACCGCAAGAGGCCTTCCTATTTTTTAAAAATAAAGTTCTTAAAATATTTTTCCATTATATATTTATTTTTTTTTAAAATCGGTAGAAGACTGACGAAGGTTTTTTTACCGCAAGATATTAAAATGTTGCTTCAGCAAGGCGTGATATAGGAGTTTACATATAAAAAGCTGAAACTTGAAGGTGAATATCTTTTTTGACACCACTAGAATTTTTGAAATTTTTAACCATATATGGATAAAATTATTTTAAACATAATATACAAATTTCAAAAAAATCTGTAGAAACTCAATTTCTCGGAGAAATACCTTAAGTAAACTTTCTATATATGTGAAGCACAGATGGGATCGAATCCACGGATTATTGCTAGTCCACAGACCGAGCACCGAGCCACTCAGCGTCTCTACTGTTAATATTAATAAAACCACTATAAGTTGAATCGATTTACCGATGTAATAAATAGTGCAGCCATTATAATCTAAAATGATTATAATACTATAGGAAGTACAAAAGACTTAATAGTTATTTAGTGATTTATAAGTGTATAATAAAGAATTAAATATAGCAAAATATAAATGCTTAGCTCTTATATTCTTTGTTTGATGTCTTGTATATCTCATCTGTTTGGCTTATTGGCATTTTTAACGGGCGAAATTTGTGCCTAAAGCACACAAAGTGTACAGTTTGAATTCAATGCATTAAATGATTACATGAAAAATGTACTTCATATCATAATACTCTGTAATACAGAAAAAAAATTTGAATTACTGTCTATTACTTCATGTATTTATCATTCTTATTCCTTAATAAAATTTTGTAAATACATTATACGTTATAAACTACTGTGTCATTTCATGTCATAGTATATTTATTTGAAACATTATTTGTAAATTTTTCATGAGCTGTATTTTAATTATGAGTAGCTGCACATTTCCATATTCCTATAGGATATTTAAAAAACAATGCAACAGTTTTATAAAACTTTTTTTTTTATATGAAAAACAAATGTTTCAGATTCTTAATATTTTTTTAATTTTTTTCGTAATAGTAGACAATATAAAGTTTTTGATATAGTTCATTTACTCTATAAACATAGAGTAAATAGATTAAATATACACATAAATAAAGTTTTTGATATATATGGTGTATTCATCGGAGTTATCCTATAATGATGAATATTTGATTGTACAAAATATGTGTTTCATATTAATTTTACATGTTTCAAAATCATTTTTAGGTCATATATATTTTATGTGGAAGATTTATTCAAATCTAATAAATATTTTAGATAATAAAATATATTTTTTTAAATATACGATTTTAATTTAAAGGGATTTTTTTGGATCTTTTATGGAGTTAATTATTAGAAAATTATTATCTAAAATAATTTATTTTTGGTCAATATAGAAAATACTTAACCAAGAAAGGTTGCACTAAAAGTATTCAAAGGAACATATCAAAGGATAAACCGTAGAGAGCATTGTACGGATTTAAGGCATTACTGGACATTATTTAAGTTATTGTATAATAAGCGTATATTATAATAAGCAATATGAGGTTATGCATTAATGGGCATAAAAAATTGGGCATTACTGACAATGAGCATTAGTAGGCAATTGATGTACATAATTTTAGTAGGCGGCTTATAATGGAGCAGATATAATGGTAAAAGAGAGTATATAAAATTTCTTGTAAATGTATTTTTTAAGAGATAGCAACATTAATATTTTAAAATTGATTTATATGGTTTGTATATTAATTTGATGCTTCGAGTTAATCTGTATATAAGTAATAAAATAAGATTTTTAAAAGTCAATAGTTTACTATTTTTTTTTTATACTTCTGACATATTTTGAAAACAAAAAATAATTCGCAAAAAGTTTATTCATTGATTAAACTTAATTTAATTGTATTTTTATACTAGTACGCACAGAATAAGATGAATTAATTAATGTAAAGAAGAGATAAATATATGTATGTATTTACTCTAGAGAAAAATATGTAATTGCACATTAGAGAAATTTTATGTGCAATATTTACGGTATCGTTGGCATTCATGTTATCGTATTAAATATATTCAGAATACGCTCCCAAACGATCTGTTAACATTTTTACACTCATTTTGAATTATCTTGTACAAATAATGATTTGTAAGAATTATATATATATATACATATATATATATATATAATTATATATATATAATTTTTTTATATTTTTGTATTTGTTGTATTATGATTATTTAAACAAAAATATCTAATGTACATTGTTACATGGTGTAAATAATTCCCATTTCTTAAAAATATAGATTGAAGGTAATTTGTTGGAATTTTAATTCTAGAAAGCTGTACAAATTATTTTGCATGGAGACATGTTTAATTTACACGCTTAATTTCTTAGATTTGGAGCTTTTCTATTATGAAGCTATTTATATATCTGTTTTAATATATTCTGTAGGAAAAAGATAAACCAAACAGTACGACAATGAACGGTTCACCGAGCAGCGCTGGAATGGGTGATCAAATGGGCGTCAAAATCGAACCAGCGGAAGCCGAGTCGTTATCCATGTCCGGAAGTAGCGGCATTCTTACTCCTATCAATCCTTACACCTGCGTTAAGCCTATTAGTCCTGAACAGGAAGAACTGATAAATAGGCTCGTGTCTTTTCAATGTGAATTCGAACAACCGAGCGAAGAGGATCTGAAAAGAATTACTGTATGTTATATTTTATGTTTCATTTATACTACAAATTTTTATTCTTCTGAATTATTTGTCTTCTTACTATATTAATATATAGAAGAAAAATACATTTAAGCATCTATTGTTTTAAATATATTATTAACTAAAATTATTACGACTCGAAAAAATAATTACAAAATAGTGAAAAAATTTATTCCAGATCATTATTTTTATTATTTGAAGATCATTCATGTCATTTTTACACAAAATGTAATATTGTTCATTATACATATATAATTTTTGTATAATTTCTCGATGCTTGTTACTCAAACAATCATGCCTGTACGAAGTTAATCTTCCACTTTTAGAATTAAACAATAAAAATCTCTTATTGGACTGTACATGAAAACACAACCTCAATACTCAGATAGCATAAAGAGTTTAAAAAGAATTCAGTGATATGTTATCAATTCTGAATTCATTTTCCGATGCAAAAAGAATTCTTTTTCTGTTAATTTTAATTGTGATTATTGTTCCACTAAAGATTTCAATATTTTGAAGAAAAGCATTTCAAGCGATCTCAAATCAATACAGAAAAAGATAGAAAATAATCTCCGCACTTTATTTACATTGAGTAGGCACGCTAATCGAGATAGATATAATATTCGGACGAGCTTCGAATCTCCTCGAAAAATGTAGCTATCTCATTTCACCGAGCATCCGACAGCCGAATAGCATTCAGCGGTTCTCCATGGGTGCCTCGAGATCATACTCGAACACATCCTGATGATAGCACAATGTTAAGACAACCTAGCACAATTTAACAATGTAAAAAATTGAAAAAAATATATAGTGAGGAATGACTTAAAAATCTTTTTTTTTTAATTTGTAATGTATTTTGTATATTACAGTTTTTAATATTCTAGCAGTGTAGCAACTTAGTATAATACTCGAATCAAGTTAATTCTAAAAGTGGAACGCTAACTTCATATAATCAAAAATTATTCACGTTTTAAAAATTTTTTAATTATTACACTCAAACAATGATTTGTCTAAAATGTCTAAAAATTTAGCTAAATACAGATCTCAAAATAAAGGACCTCATATAGATCTTATGGAAAATATTCCCCGGTTAAATTAGCTGAAATTAAAGTATGTTGTTGTCTTCGACGTTCTCAACAAAAGTCTCGATGGGCACGACTCTCTAAATTCAAAACTTTTCCGTCCAGAGATGTTTAAAGTGAAAACCGATGGTACCATGTTTCTTCACGAACCAAATATATGAATATTTTCCTCCTCGCTCTCTTTCTTCCTCTCCCTCTCTCTCTTTACTCCTCCCCTCTCTCTACACATTCGCGTGCGCACACTTTTATTCTAAATATATGATATTGTAAATTTTATTATGACGTCTTTCTGATGTTTATTCTATAATTAAAAGATTCTATTTTTATAATTGTATATTTTCGAGCTATTGCAGTAAAAAAAGAGTCTAATTAGATTAATTGAAAATCTACTAAATTCAATTAGTATGACTATTCAAAACGAATTAGAGATTCAACTGATATGACTGTTCAAAAACGGATAAATCAGAATTCTTGTTAGCATTACTGGATAAGCACGATTAATCCCTTCCTTTTAAATCTATCAAAATTTCTTGTTGATCAAATATATTTTTCTCATTAAATGTACCTATCAAAGTTTCTTGGTCGAATAATACTTTTCTGTTAAATCTATCAGAACTTTTCATTGATCCAATAAATTTTTCTGAACTACACAATTGTTGATAATTATGCACTTTAAGGGATATCGTGTGATGACCTTGACTTGACATATGTTGTCAAAATCATGATTTTGAGTAACTTTTCCTTAACAACTAGATGACGGTCTTTTACAGTTTCTGAGATATTTAGATTTAAAGGTCTAATTTATGTAATAATTATTTAAGAGACATCACGCTAGTGATCTTGACCTTGATATATGTTGTAAGTCTAAGTGACCTCCAATAGCTTTAAAGTGGCGATCGCTGTTCGTGAAAAAGTTATTAACAAAAAAAATTTTAAAAATGGTCCCTTTTTATTATACAAAACAGGAATTTTCTGCTTTAAAATATATTTTACGACTTTCCACGCGAAGCAACTTTTATTCCATCTTCCCCCTGCTTCAGGGACTTAACCAAATCAACCCCTATCCGATTGTGGAAAATCTCACAAATATCGGTCCTTGGTAGGGAAGGAGATGGAATAAGAGTCGCTTTGTGCGTGGAAAGTCGTAAATTATACAATATTTTAAAACAAGAAATTTCTGTTTCACATAATAGAAAAGGGGCACTATTTTTGAAATTTTTTTGTTAATAACTTTTTAACAAAGAGCACCACCTAAAACCTGTTGAAAGTTACTCAGGGTCATAACATATGTCCAGATCAAGGTTCCTTTAATGTGAATAATTATTATCCCATACAGCACAAAAGATTGAATATTATTGCAATGTTGCAATATTGCAGATTGCGATGTAACATTGCAGAGATATTACAGAAATGTAAATTAACAATATGCCTGCAAAATGTCAGTAATATGCCTGCATATTACAAATACATTGTCTGCATATTCCAAAAACATTGCAAAACTGTAATTCTTTAATTGTTACAATATCTAATAATAATATAAAAATATAATTTTTTACAATATTTATGTAATACAGTCTTTTAGTTTAACAATCGTTTTATAATAATTAATATAATTAATTTTATATTTAAATAAAAAATTGATTAATCTATTATTTGACGACTATTTCATTAGCTAAATTTTATATTTATTTTAAATATGAAATCAAAAGATTGTATAATATCGAGTTTCATTATTGGATAGGACGATAAGCAATTAAGTTGCTGAAAATGATTTATCGAAATATTAATTATATGATCGATGATATATTTATGCCTGATATGAACACAAAAATAAACTAGCGCCCGAATTTTATTGATAAATTTCATACCGTCATTTTTTAATCGATTTCAATTCGGAATGGCTTCAAATTAAAAAGAATCACTATGATTAATTTAATCCATGATTAACTTACCAAGAGACTGTATTATTAAGTTAACGTGGATAATATTTGTAGTTTGTTCGGGGCACACACATACATGCTTACATGCTTATCCTTACGAATAAATTTATCCTTCAGAATTAATGATACATTTATTGTGGAATATTTTATAGTTTTATCATAAAAAATTGCTTTTGGAAAGCACATATCATTAGAAATGCGATTTGTAGAAAATTTAATGTTAGTGAGATATATATTTTTAACAGAAAATAGTTTTCATTTTAGCGTCTTTCTAAAAAATTTATCCAAATGCATTACATTGTAATATTGCCGGAATGTTTCGTTGCAATATAACAAAAAGCGGACATCTTAACATTATTGAAATCTTGCAGTAATGATTTAGCAACGTTTCGCAACCATCATGCAATATTACAATGTTCCAGTGAAATTATTCTGTATGTTTGTGCAATCTTTCTGTGCTGTATGGGACACAAATTAGACCTTTAAGTCTAAATATCTCAAAAACTATAAGAGATCGTCACCTGGTTGTTAAGACAAAGTTACTCAGAATCATGATCTTGACAACATATGTCAGAGTTAAGATCATCGGCGCGATGTCTCTTAATGTGCATAATTACCCAATTCCTTAGTGATTAAACAAGGATAAATGGTCCCACACGACACATAGATGTCCATTAGTCATCCAAAGGAATGCTCTGAATCTCCAGATAGGCGCCCATTTCATGCTCCAAATAATAGTAACGGATCCACGGGGGGGAGGGGGCACGGGGGCCATGGCTCTCCCTTTAGAATTTTTTTTAAATATAGCAAAGGATTATATATACTTTTAATATTTCTAAAATGCTTAATTAAAATTTTGATATTCTAAAAATATTTTTTATTTTATGAATTTTCTAAGCATAAAAAATATAGATTCTTTTTTATATTCCAAAATGTAAATAAATGAAGTCTGTGCTACAGCTTTTATTTTCCGCCCGCTCGCGTTGGGTGAACAGAGTTCGATATTGATGCCACCATTATGTAGGCATAAGTCACGTGGCACTAAAGGCGTAGAGCGCGTTTAAGTCGATAAAGCGACTACATCTGCTCGCCAAGCAATTAAACATAATTGGTTCCATAGGTAAGAACCAATTATGCTCATTCGCTCGGCAAGCCGTCTTCCATGGTCCTTTCCGCTTACTTTTATCGACCATTTTAACACACGGATCACGCAGTCCATTCTCTCTTTGTGTAACACCAATCACGCGAAATTCTCGAATAATAGGTATAAAGAATGTGATTAGCCACAAGTCGCTATTTTGTGCCCTATATATATGACGCAATTTCTCATCTTAATCTCTTCTTTCTCTAACATTGTCTTCTTTCTAATTAAGGACTTTTCATGGCAGAGCGAAGTGTTAGGCATATGCATTTGGCGCCACTCTTTATACCATTCTAGACTCTATGTATAGGGACTCTCAATAAGCCTATTCTTTTTAAATGAACTTTTGCGCCAGTTCATCTTTCTTCCTTTTCTCTTCAAGAGAAAAGAAGAAGAAGAAAGATGAACTGATACAAAACTTTAGCCAAAAAGAACAGGCTTTAATGATCGCGTTCTGCAGATTCAGCTATTGCGGAGCGAATTCGCGAGCGCTCATTGCTATTGATGCATTCTTCTAGATCATCCAATAGCAGCGCTATATACATATATATATATATCATATATTTTTTAATATATTATATATTATATTATATTCTTTTTGTTTATATAATTTTAAATAAAATGATTATTGTACTTTTCAATGTAACATATCAGTAATAATTTAAATATTTCATATTTGATCGTGAAAAAATTCGCTTGCGGTGCGTCAATGCCCCCCTCCCTCTTAATAATCTTATGGATCCGCCCCTGCCAAATAAGTCCCACAGATATTTGAGGGATGTCCCCATTTGATGTTCATTGGACGCCTTAGTTTGGAGATTATTATTATTTTGGAGACAAAATTTTATTATTCTTTTTTACTTATTTTATAAATATTTGTGTAATAAATGTAAAACTCGGAAAATAAATTAAAGTTAAATTTGTTTATAACTTTTTTTTGAAGGGTGGACAAAAGAAAATTACGCGTGGACAAACAAGTAAGCATGATGGACAATCGAATCTCATACGTAATTCGGAAGAAGATTCACATGCTACAATTTTTTATTGATTTATAATTTTTTTTTCAAGAGTGAACACAAATTATTTTTTAAACAAATGTGGATAAATGATGAACAATCGAATGCAATGTTAATTTTATCAAAATTCGCATTTAGAGGTCAGCTTTACAGACTTTAAAGGATTTGAGTGTCCTTTTCCAATCGAAATGGGCACAACATTGGTCGTTCTTTTTTTACACGGGACACTGTATTGTGTGGGCATTATGCGTATTATGCATGATCTCAGATAGCGCGTCTATTTTGTTGCTGGCATGTTGCTTGCTAAGTATGTGTTGCTATCAGAATTGCAGCAACTGAGTCTTTATTTGTTGGCAACTTGATGCCTTCACGATATAACAACTTTGAGTAGCAACTTGTCAGCAATTTACTGCGCTAAATAGTACCTTAAAATAGTACTTTAAATAGTACCACTAGTTTGACCTTGGGTGACGTTAAGGTCAGAGCTAGGTCACTTTGAATATTGTTTTAAATGGATCTCCCATTTTTTATTACATATTCTCTTATCTCAAGAATTTTTTAAAATACTATAATAATATATTTTTTCATTAAGTATTTCTCGAATTAAAAGGCTTGAAAGTTACAATACCGTTGACATTAGCATTACCTAAAGTGTCCGATCGACGGCTAAAACCTCTTGAATTAGTCAGAATGATCTAGATAATATTTGTTCAGATCAAAATCATTGGAGATTGTTCCTCTTATTTTTATTTTTGCACTAAAAATTTATTTTTACATAAAAATGAAAATAAGAACAACCTCCAATCGTCTTGACCTTGACAAATGTTGTCAAGGTTATAGCTCAGAACAACATTCAAAAAGTTTTAGCCGTAGGTCAAACTTTGAGTAATGTTAATGTCTACAGTATTGTAACTTTCAAGCCTTTTAATTTGAAAAAAAAAACTTAATGAAAAAATATTTTATTATTTATTTTGAAAAGCGCTTGAAGTAAGCTACAAGAATATGTAATGAAAAATAAGAGTTTAAAAAATTCAAATTAAAAAATTCCATTTAAAAAATTCAAAGTGACTTAGTCCTGACAACGCCACCTAAAGTCAAACCATTGATACCATCTTATCTCCCCCTCGATATAAAAATTCAGCATACTGATTGTTTCACTCTTACGTTTTACGAAGTTGTAGTCGTGAAAGATTTGAACCATCTTTCACAATACGGGAGTAGTAGGTTAAAACTTCACTTTACGACATTGCACAATCATTTACAATTACTTTTACAATTGTAAATCGGATCTGAAGAGATATTTGAAGTGGTTGATTAAAACATCCTGTATACATGTATTTCCATATTTATATTTTACATACACATACACGCACGCGCGCACACACACACACACACACACACACACACACACACACACACACACACACGTAAAATATAAATATGTAAATAAATGTACAAATGTAAATAAAAAAATATAAAGGAATTTATGTTTAGATCCTATTAATCCAATATATAATATTCCGCTTTATAAATGCTCTACAATAACAGCCTTTATTACAAAATCTTATTTATTCTATAGTGCAAGTAAAAATTACAATTTTAATAATAATTGATTTGTATAAAAACAAAGAGAAATTTGCAGACATAGTTCAAGAAAGTGATAAAATTAACCGTTACTTTCTTCTGTTCAAAATGTGGAAAAAAAATATTCCTGAATATAACAATAATTTCAACTACGATTTTCGAAATCAGCAAGTAAAATTGAGTAGGAAAAAATGTGACCACAACGTGCTACAAATCGCCTAAAATACACCAATTCCTTTTGAACAAATACGAAGTTAACTAAGATAATATATAAATAATATACTAAGATAATATATAATAATAATACAAAATAATATATTATTTTAAATAAAAAATATAAATATTACAATATAAATAAAAACAAAAGTTGAAAACGTAACTTAAGGTTTAATAATTCAGTATTAAAAACAAATAGTTTTTAAAAATAACTATTGAAAAATGTAATTAAAATAATTAAAAATAATTTAAGTTATAACTTATATAATAATGGTATAACTGATTAAAGTTATATTATTATAAAATAACAGAAAATATTAAATATGTGGGCGTCCCCATGTAGCGTCCTACTGTGTATCTACTACCTACTTGTGTAAGCACAAGTCTATTATCGTTGCGTATGAGTAGAGACCTGTTTGTGAAGCTAGTGCCAATCGCGCATATGTCAGAAGTTCTGCAATCTGCGATCACTCTAGAGCACCATATTGAACTAAAAAGTGGTAAAGAAGATTTCAATTTTGAATTTTTTTGACATTCTCGTCATAAACTCCACCTCACACGTATTAATGCGTATACTTTAATCTTACAAAAGAATTTTTGAATCTGTAAAAGAGGAAAAAAGGAATTGTTATACAAAAATTATATGGATTAATAATACAGACTTTAGAATTTCCTTAAGGAGGTTATAAAGAAAATGCAATATGTTAAGAATTACTTAGAAAAATGTAGATTATTCTAAATTACGTTCAAAAGTAATACAAAAAATTAGAGATTAGTTTATCATCTGGATCGAAAGTTATTTCAATAAAAAGTAATATTTTTTAAATTTGTACTCCAATAGAAATATATGAAAATGTATATATTATAAAATAATGATAAAAATCTTAATTCTTTAAAATAAGTATTTTATGATTTCAAAAATATTTATGTAAAGTTACATTAAGATGCAGACATTAATTGTTTAGTAAATAAACAAAATATTTATTTATTATAAAACTAATTGGTAAATCTCAATGAATCTCAATAAGTCATTTTTAGTACTTAAAATATTTATATTAAAAAAATTTATATTTTTGTTATTATTTTTAAAATTTTTGTTTATGACAAAATTAATGGCCCTTAATCACTTAAATTTTAACAGAAATGCAAATTCTTGTAAGAATGTCGATCTTTAATGGTATCTCGTTGATTGATCCAACTAATCCAGTAATCGTTCCACTTTATTACAAGATACTAAGAACACTCATGACATAAAACAATTCAAACAATATGTGTTCATCTTTGCCTTTGTCCTATTCGCGACTTGCACAATAATAAAACTGCAGGTGCGTCGAGATTAACGTTGATAATGTTGCATATATCTAGTGAAAGTAGTGAATATAACTGGAAGTTTTGTAGATCCAACAGAAAAATATAAAACAAATCTTCAGTATAATCTATCAACTGTTCTCGTTGTAAAATTTCAAATCCTATCAAATGACTAGAAATTCTGTTTGATTTAATCAAAATGCGTTCAACCGTATACGTCTTGTTGATATAAACAAACCATTTTTCTCAATATGCTATTATATTTCATTTATTTGTATTATTCGTTAACGTTAAAATATTTGTACACAAACATAAGGCTAATGTAAATAATGTTGCATTTGATATGAAATATTTTGTTTTTCAGAATCAACCAATGGAAGGCGAAGATCCGAGTGATTACAGTTTCAGGCATATTACTGAAATCACGATTTTGACTGTTCAATTGATCGTCGAGTTCTCAAAGAGATTACCTGGCTTTAACGAGTTGTTACGTGAAGATCAAATCACTCTGTTGAAAGCATGTTCTAGTGAGGTGATGATGCTACGGATGGCAAGAAAGTATGATGTGACAACCGATAGCATCATTTTTGCTAATAATCAATCGTATACACGTGACAGTTATAATGTTGCCGGAATGGGAGACACCATTGAAGATCTTTTGCGATTCTGTCGACAAATGTATGCTATGAGAGTTAATAATGCCGAATATGCTTTGCTCACAGCTATTGTCATCTTTTCAGGTATGTATGAAAAATATAATAATGTTTTGCGTCAAATATACATTAGGTACCCATAAATGTGATTTTTAGTTTAAATATTTATTCTATGAATCATTTCGTATTGTAAATCCAGAATATATGCATGTCTAAAAAATATCTTTATGACTATCTGAGTAAAAGTTGACAGCGCAAAACGGACAATAGAATCCAATTAAATCCAAAAACAAGTATTCGCTATTTTTTTAAAATATGCATTTGGACACAAAAAAATTTCAATTCATTTTAATTCATTCTCGTTTGTTGGGAATATTCGATAAGTATAGCTTTAGTTCTGTGATTTTAATTAATTTTATTACGAATTTATGGCAAAAATTATAGGCAAAAATGACATCTTTATATTTGTTTAAACTATATATATATATATATATATGTACGTATACGAGGTTTGTCCTCCGCCTTCTGTATATATCTTTGTCCTTGGGCATTCTCTCTCTATTATGGAAAACAGACATTCAGTATTTAGGGGATGAGACCTTAAGGTTTGTCCTCCACCAAGTGGCATGACTTAACAGCTGTTCAATCGGCAACGATACGCAGTTGTATGAACGTCGAAATCTCCGAGCTCCGAATATGTACAGAGTGATTCAAAATAACCTTTTGTTCTTAAAGAGTCATATTCCTGACCGTATTCTGAAACGATTTTTCTCTCAGCGAAAAAGACTCCGCACGTTTCACATGGAAAAATGATCTCGATCAAATTAGTCCATTTTGAGATATGTTATACATCTTGTTTGATTCTGAACAAATGCCTCCATTATCATATTCATATAAAATCAACAAATAAAAAGATATAACACTTTGAAGTCACAGAATTTGAATGCCATCATATCTCCTTAAAGTAATTTGATGCTTTCTTTTATTTGTAATAGGTAGTCACACGCATGTAGATATACGCCCAGAACCAAACGTGCCAAAAGTACTGCAAATTTATGCTACATATTATGTGGAAAAAATCGGGAAGTGAATTTAGCACCATCTGTCATTTCAACTAGCATTAATAAAAATACAGCAAATATTCTTCAAATACTGCGTCATAACATATTTAAAAAATACTACAAAAACTGAACAAAATAATTCAGCATAAATGGAATAAAATTCAAACATTATATTTTGGTATAATATAAACAGAAAATAAACCAAAGCTAGGTTTGACATGATATCATCACGACTTATTATATCAACAGTTCTAGTGACGCAATTAATTAGCGCACGATACTTATAGACTTATTAAATATTGACAGCAAAAATGCAGCAAAAATCGAGCACAATCTGCTCGATTTATCGAGCACAACCTGTCACGATGTAATTGCCCAAAACGCGGCATATGGATACTATAAAAAAAGATTTAGAAATTCAACTTGAATTGAGGTAAATCAACTCAATCTCAGAGTTAAATATGGCGAGCTAATTGTCGGATTACGTCAAAAAACATTTTAACTTCCTTTAATATCTTTCTTGTATTAACTAAACATTGAATTTATTTCTATAAAATATTTATAAATTGATTAAATTAGTATTGGTACATAGTAAACATAATTGTATCATCAATTAAAATAATTTTATGAGCACGATGAAATAAATCTGCAGTAGAATAGATTGACTTTTGACTGGACTTTTGACTTTTGACTATTCTACAAAGTAACAAGAACTCAATATTGTTGATAGTAACAATTTTGAGATAATCTCTACTTTATCTTCGAATGAAGTAGATTTAATAATTCATCTAATATGATAATTCATTAAATTTATTCGATTTCGTTTACTTTGTAAAATGATTTAATTAATCATTAAAACTTTCTACCATATAGATCGATTGATTAGGTACCGCCTTGAAAAAAACATTTGTCGCCATGATGTGACAAAAATGTGTATGAAAAAACCATTTAACTATTCTTGCTTTATACGTTATAGGTAGACGTTGAATTTTTCTTACAAGTACACGCGCCATCTGTTGATACCTCCATAAAATCTCCTCCACTTTAAATCAAAGTGAAGTATCGTTAATAATTTATCGAGTTCCTATTACTTTTAAGCCTGTTATTTTTACGTTACATTCATGTTCATTGACTACCAATAATGATTTAGTTAATTTTGTAAATATGCTTATGACTGTATCGCTCCATCATTGAATTACGTAAATAATTAGTTCAATGTACTTTTCTCTATGATTGATTTGATCTCCAGTAGATGCAGATTTATTATTATTACGCAGTTAAATCATCCTTGTGGTAGTTGAATGAATATCTAATGTTAATACACTTTATCATATTTCAGATCAGTCAATCATATACTTTGATTTTAAGTTTTTGGGTACATTTTACTACATGAAGTTATTCATCTAATTAGATTTTTATTTTTCTCGACTTGATTATACTTCACTTAATTCAGATTGCGCAACCCTCAGATTTAGTTCTTTCCACTCTGAGTATTTTTTACATGTCGCATCTGCTTTATTTTACCAAGACCATAGTTCTTTCGTTTACCGCTAGGCAACGTATCTATTATCTTGTATTTAAATTTCTATCACACGCAAATATAAAGACTACATAATGCGGTTAGTGAAAATAAAAGTGTAGTATTTTCCTACTGGTTTTATTTATAACACAATTCCTATAGAGAATTCCGGATATTAAACTGATTTTTTTTAAACCCAATGATTGAGCTTTCAAAGTGAAGAATTGTTCATTTATTAACTTAAGATGCAAAAAAATGAAAAGTACGATTTCCATTTAACAAAGTCTTATTCTGTCAATATTTGATATAAGTCGTGCTATAGTCTTGCCGCAATTTCGCTGTCACAATTTGACATCAGATTATGCTTGATTTCTGCTATCTTCCTGCTATTAGTGATATTTGATATGTCAAACTTTGTCCGATATTTGCTGTCACTATATTTGTAGCAAAGAATGCTCAATTTTTATTACATTTCTCCTATCGTTCTGTGTTGGCAGATTATGCTGTAACTAAGCTTAATGAAGCAGCAGTTTGATTTTTGCTATAATATCAAGTTTGCTAACGTACTACTGGCGTATACTATTAGTATTTTGCTATCTGGACGCATGCAAGTAACTAGTCACATATAAGACAAGAACAAGAATAAGGAGAATGAGAGGACAAGGAAATTGATTAAAATAAATATTGCAAATGGATTTAACATTTGATACGTTTACATCTTAGATTCTGAATAACACTAAAAGTTGAGTTTTATAGGTAATATATTATGTATATATATATATATATACGTGTGGGCATGTGAGCGTGTGTGAATGTGTACATAACGTTCATAAATATACTTATAAAACCTCATACATAATTGTACACGCACACATGCACATATCCATACAGAGTTCTCACATTCAAAAATACATGCGTATGTATATCTATTACACATAAAAGAAGCAACAAATTATCTCAAGGAATAATAAGATTGAAAATAAGACCGTTTAAAACCGTGATGACGCTCTACGACTCCGGGGCATCGAGGCGTCAGATAACCGGAACATCATTTTCCGGAGTCTTTCCACCTTCTTCTCGGCGCCCTCACCTGGGCTGTACATTTCTCAGGTAAGGGCCATTGCCCGTTGTTTGGACGACATCCAGGTTGAACTTTTGAGTGCCCTGGGATGTCTGACATCCCAGTCTTTTTTGGCGCTCTTCGATCTTTGAGCCGACAGTCGCTCAAACCATCATGAAAATGCCCACGTGGTCCGACTGGTCGGCCAGGAGATCGAAGTTGACCTTTCAATTGAACACCATGTCGGCGGCAGAGAACGATACTCAGATCAAGTCCACGATAGACTCTCCCCGGCAAAGATACTTTGTTTATTTCTCCCCTGTTAACCAGACAAAGATCGCCGCACGATCCTTGTCCATCATGTGCGGTGGAACCTCCCCCGCATTCACTCCATGGAGTAGGCGTTTAAGTCCCGCTATTAGGACCGGGCGGAGAGAACGCCTTCTCACGATCGCGCCTAACTTCAAAACTTTATTTCAAACTTCCAGAGCGGCAGCTGCGGTCAGAGATAACAAACCAAGATATCAAGGGCCCCTCATTCCACCATTATATAAAAGATCATAATTCTCCACATGAGGTGGCGGGAAATCCTTAGTCGATCTCCAGACAACAGACCCCGTCGAATCCCCCAACTACCTATTGGCGAGGACGTTCTAAGAGTCGATCATTACACCCAAGCTTGAATCACTTTCGTCCAGCGCACGGAGGAGGAGGTCCTGCGCTGATTCAGATTCGCCTGGAAGAGACACGCCGCCGTGAATGTTACGCACCAACCTCCTTTAAGCATACCTCCATCTCCACGCCCTCACTGGGCACAATCTCCGCAGGCGCAGCTGTTGCTCCGGACTTTATGGGAAGGGGGAGGGTTGTAGTGATGTTCCCCTCCCAATCCCAACTGCATCTGCCGAACCTTCTTTAGGGCCCGCTGCTCCTCCGAGCCCCTGGGAAGGCTCTTCCTTTTCTCCTTTTGCCACCGATTCCGCCGACTGTACAACCGGCACTTATGCCGATTTTTGTGCGGTCGGCTTATTCCGGCGGCACAGGCCGGGCAGTTGGCAGGAGTCCTGCAATCTCTTGTTGTATGCCCCTGTCATCCACATTGGTAGCAGCAACCAATCCTGTCGACTTGGCTGCTACATCCGACCCTCAGTCCCAGACATTTGAAACACTGTAGGGGCGGGCCATGAGGGGATGATTCGGGAGAGCCCATCCCACTCTTACCTTGTCCGCATCTGCTAGCTTTTTCGCAGCGGATACAGGACACTGGACCTACGCCATTCAGGTTATGGGGGCCCACCTTTATATTGCCGGGGGAACAGCTTCCGCGGCGACTATCGCCTTGGTCACGTCCCTTTAGGAGACGGAGTCGTCAAACCCCGTCAGCATGACTTCAGTCTTCTTGACGGGCCAGAAAACTCTTACCCCTTTCCGATCATGAAGAGCTTCT